CACACACACACACACACACACACACACACACACACACACACACACACACAACACATTCGAGCCTGTCATTCACATATAATCTAAAGCAATAGCAAAGGCGCTCAGATGTGAACAAGCCAACATAAAACGTTCAAAACTATAACCCACGTCTTGCTTCGCTCCTGCTCTCACTGTTCAAACAGTAAAAACACAAAAACTGTTGGGCAAAACACACATACACATATTTCAAAATATTCGGAACACTTTGCGTCTTTCAGTGCGTTTGAGAACATCAGATTAAAGGCTCTGTTAATTACATGAATGTGAACAGAACAAATTGAATTCAATATCATAAACACAATTTTACACTTCATTGAGTATCAAGGCAGTCACCATCATCAACGATGTCCACATAATATGGCATTGCCCTTGAGATCACATTTTTTGAAAACTCCAAAGGCCGTTGTCGTTCTTGTTAGACTAGAGAACAGCAGTAATGTCATGGAGCAGTATAAACATCAAACTTCTTGCCAGTTAGCGTGGGGAAAAGGAGGGAGTGGAGTGGTGAATTGTGAAAAACGGGGTCGCTATCACACGATGTCTTTAGGACAGCAAAGTAATAAACCACAAACATCTGAGTGGTCCGTGTGTTATCAATTGTGGCATATTCCTGTGACAGTCGTACATTTGGCGAATTTCTCAACAATACACGAATACAAGACATTGTCTGTATTTCCGTAGTTCCTCCATTGTGCACAAAACTTTGGGTACGAGTTCGGGCAGAATGAAGAACACAAAAATCTGCAGATAAGCAACAGTCAACTCAACGAATTGTTTCTGGCCTTCCGACTAGGCACTGCCACATTGGGGAGCACTGCAAACACACTTTAAAATTCTATAATCATTGACGTGTACTGCTTTCCTTTTCGGACAAAAACACATTTTTTGTTGGCAGCGTTACTGTTCGACTAGTTTAAAGTATTATTTTTTTCACCAAAAACAATCTTGTTGTTTTGACCTTGTATTTGAGTCTGAGTCTCTGCTAAATGTCTTGCTAAACAATTAAACACCACCACATTCACGCTGGAGAAAAAAATATAGGTCCATGTCTATTTCTCCACACTGAGCACATAAAAAGAAGTAAATAAAAACTGGTCCCACATTGGAATGGCTGAGTATTAGAATTAGACTGTTTTTCAGTACATTCATTCTTGACAAAAAGTTAAGCTTTAAACGGCTGGATGTGTATTTTTCGTCAACGCAGTTGCTGTTATGGTGCAAAACAGGGTGCAGTCTAAACTGACAGGGCTTTGCATCTGAAGCAGACAACTGCTTTGGTCGATCGCAGACGAATCAGCAATTGCGTTAGAGAGATGACCGTAATATCAAAAGATATTTCCTGGGACAATCTCAGGTTGGGTCTCAGTGACCACGATTCGAAACAGGAGATCAGATCATCGCTTGTCCCTTCAGCCGTGAGAACACTCCACTTCGTGCTGGATCTGCCTCCACTCCTGCAGGTAGGGGGCGCACTTGAGAGCCAGTTGACCCAGGCGGGCACGTCCGGTCATCAAGAACTCGCCATCACCTTTCCGGATGCCACACTTCCTCGGGACTGTCACGTGACCAGTCAGATGGGGGTCTGATCGGCGGACTCGCCGGAAGAAGTTCTGCTCCCTCTGGAGGATGATCTGTCGGACGTTGAGGGTTACGTCCGTCTTGTCGCTCACCTCGTTGTGGTGCACGTCCGCCATGCTGCCGATCACCACTGGAAAAACACAAGAGAAAACGTCATTGCAATAGAACGGAAAATCACGATGAAAAAGTCAAACGTAATTCATCTCACACATAAAAAGTGCCTCTCGGCGTTACATAACAACAAGGCACACTATTTTTTCTTTACAATCCCCCCCCCCCCCCCCACACACACAGATTTACCCCTCTCTCTACGATGCATCCCCCCCCCCCCACAAACCCCTGTTTCCCTCCCACATTTGCTTATGCCCGACAAATCCACTAGCCCAACCATCACATTACAGACCTCACACTACGAGTTTCGAAAGCCGACTTCAACGTAAGTGCTGCCCAAACAAACAAATTTCTAAGCAATATGAGAGGAAGGTTGGCAAAACCCCTGGACAGAAACAACGATAATAAAATTATAGAACCCAGCTAAAACCCCATTGGCCTCCCTTTAACTTTCCCTTTTGTTTCAGAACTGAAAACATAAATGTCAGCTACGAGGTCACAAAGTCTGTAAAAAGTGAATGCCCGCTTCCAGAGTAACACGTGACCCACACACACGGAGCATTATCGTGCACGAGGCAAAAAGCATTACTTTTTAAGTATTTTTCTCGGAGCTCATTTTTCTGTTTAACCTCAATTCTGTCGTCACATGGTATTTTTATTTCGCTTTTGTTTCGTTTTCACAAAGCATATTGGTATTTTGCTCCTATTCCATTCTCGCATTTCTCTTTCCTCCTCATGTTCTGTGTTTACTTATTTCGCTTCCCTTTTGAGTTGTCATAGATAACGAATGCTGTTGGATATTCTTGACGTGAACGTGTCAAGGAATGGAGCAGGGAGTGTATGTGGCATGTTGCCGACCGGTGGATACTGAAATTTTGCTATGAGCGAAGGAGAAACAGGAGCGCATCTGCTAGAAGGATAACAAAACATAGTAAATCAAAGTGCAAGGAAAGGATGGGAGTGCGTTAAGGGATAGGGAAAGACAAGGCAGACTGTTGTTTTGAGTCTACGAGGAACACGTTGACACAATGAAGGCTTGACAAAGCGCGTTGCTGCAGTGAGCTGGATACAAGAAACATAACAAGCAGATATCTCACGGGTTGGGGAAAAAGAAAGAGGCAGCAGCTCCTCCCCCCCCCCTCGTGCCCTCAACTGGCAATCAACAATAACAACAAAAATTAATAGATTTGAGCCTCTGCATGTGCACGCCTCTCGCTCTCCTCTCCTCCCCCTTCCCTTTTCTCACTCTGTATGATGGGTGGATAGAGAGGGCGAAGAACAGTTTTCATGCTTTAATTTTCGTTTTAGTAGATAGAAGCACATGGACACGATAACTGCTGGATCTATCTTTTTAATTTAAAAAAAAAGGGGGGGGGGGGCAAAACAGACAAACGGAAAACACACAGGGCCGACCATTGGCATCCCTCAAACACTCGCAAACGGTTTCCTCACTGGTGAACACATAACACACATGCAGCCGTAAGAACATTTTTAAAAAAAGGGTTTAAAACACCCAAACAAACCACATGCAGCAGGGCGAAACGCAGCACGGAATATAAAAGATCAGCTAACATCCGCCAAAGATGCAGAAAAAGGGCTAAATAAATTAGTTTTAGTGCCTCAACTTTTCTTTCAACTCAGTAGGGACACTTCGGAGTGGGGACTCTTATCAGAGCACGAACAAAGCCTCCATTATATAACATTAAGTGTCAAGTAGGAAGGTGGCCTTGGCGGCGTACTGCCTCAGTTCGACCGACAGCAATTATTATTGCCTTCTACTCTACGTAGAGCGGCCAGCTGAGAGATAGACAGTTGAAGGGGGAGAAGGGTAGAGAGCGAGAGAGAGAGAGACAGAGAGAGAGAGAGAGACAGAGAGAGACAGAGAGAGAGAGATAGATAGATAGATAGATAGATAGATAGATAGATAGAGAGAGAGAGAGAGAGAGAGAGAGAGAGAGAGAGAGAGAGTTGAAGGGAGAGAAGGGTAGAGTTGAAGGGAGAGAAGGGTAGAGAGCGAGAGAGAGGGACAGAGAGAGAGAGAGACAGAGACAGAGAGAGAGACAGAGACAGAGATAGATAGATAGATAGATAGATAGATAGAGAGAGAGAGAGAGAGAGAGAGAGAGAGAGAGAGAGAGAGAGAGAGAGAGAGAGAGAGAGTAATGGAAGGGGGGGGGGGGGAGAAATGGTAGGGCGGGAAAAGGGATTGGGTGGGTATCAAGTGGCTTTCTTTTCTAAACTGTCGATACCTTTCTTCTACGGTAAAAACCTCACAGAATATACAATTGAATACAAACTCAAGAAGTGCCAAAATGAGACAGACGGGAAGGTACCGGCCCCGTGGTAGGGCAGGCGGGGCTGAAAACAGCAGAGGAAGAAATGCAAAGGCCGGGGTTGATGGGAGAGTTAGATAATAGCAGAGACCAGAGTGTGGGAAAAACGCGCCGAGGGGACGATGTGCAAGGCAGACGAGTAGAACAATTTCATGCGTGAATGTTTGTGTGCGTTTGTTTTGCACTTTACTGCTCCTATTTACAAATGTGAGGGTGCCAGGGGTCTATGGTATGCTGTTACCCCAAAGCAAAACACCACATGGGTTAAAAGATAGTTTGGTTCATCTTGCATTTCTGTTTTATTTGAACACCAAATAAATGAAGGCATCCCGAGTTAGCAAAAGAACAGATTAAAATTCAATGCTAACTTATTGTTTACGCTAACTTTGACATGGGCAATGGTGGGATTGAGAAGAGCAGGCCATCAGTTAAAACAAATCTTTTTTCCTCAGCCACGGAGGAGAAAAAGATAAATTTGGCACCCCTTAAGCACATGGAAGTTCGCTACTGCGCAACAACAGCAATGTTTCAAGTATTCTGCAGAAATAGTAAAAAAAACCCCCACCCTTGACGTCATCAGTGAAACAGAAAAGGATGCTGACGAGAAAGCAACAAGTTGAACCCAGTTTTTACACACGTCAGCAGTTTTATATCCTTAGCATCTCAGATACATTATTTTCTCCGTGCCTTCTCCTATTTCTCTTTCTCACCTTTTTATCGTCTTGAAAACGCTCTCAGCAGACATTACATGCGCATATCATCCCAACAACACATGTGTATGTTTATGTCTGTGTGCACTAAAATGCAGCCATGTTTTTACTTTTGCTTGGGCATGCATGTTCCAAAGCCACTGGTTAAATGTGTTAAGTTAAAAAAGGTGTAAAAAAAGATTAACGGCAGAGGGTGGGGGTGGGGAAAGTGGAGAAAGGGTAAAAGAGGAGGGGAAGAGATGGAGGGATAACAATAGTTTTAAGATAAGTGACAAACGTTGGGAGGAGAGGAAACGCGCACAGACCTTGTTTGTTTACCTTTCTGCTCAGGAAAGAAATAAAGACAAGCGTAAACAACAGAAGTGGGTGGGTCTGTATAATATTCAGAGACGGGCACGGAGGCATGTCCTTTTGCTTAATATCAAGGCGTTTAGGAGCGTCTGTTAGGTCAATACAAAGGCGGTCCATTGTCTTTTCTGCCATGGAACGTATACATTGACGTACCATACCTTAAAATTAGAGTACTATAATTTATCTGCAACAGCAGTCATAAACTGCTGAAGGCGGAAGAATGATTTCTTTTCGAGGTCCTGGAGGGAAAACGATTGTTCTTCTTCCTTTCGGCATTCTTTTTATCGTCTCTGTATACATTAATACGGTGACTCCAGTTTCAACTGTGCAGGAAATTAAGTATAGTCTTTACTGATTAACCTTGCTTATCATTATTTTGTCCCTTTTCGCCCTAACTATCAGCGCGTTTGCGGATCCCCACGGGAATCTGTTATCATCAAAACTTGACATAATTTATACGGAAGCCCGAACCCCTACAATGAATTCCCGTCTTCGGAGTGAAGGGGCTCAGTGTGCATGAGGTCGTTCTACGTCCACGCCACTAATCATGGACTCTAAAAATGTGGAAATCACAAAGACTTAGTTGTGAGACGGAGAAAAAAGAGTGAGCGGGTAGGGTGGGGTTGGAGTCTCCACTCCGCATTATATACGTACGTCTTCTCGCAAAAATGGGAATAAGAACCAAATGGACGACCACACAATAAGTGGAGTAGATTGTTTATGCTGCAAGATTTGAAGTCTCCCGTTCATAAAGTGTAAGCAAACGTTTGCTCTTTAAAACGTGACTTGGGAGTGAAGAAAAGTCGTGGACAAAGACGTACGGTCATGTATATATGTACAATACATACATGTACACCATAATAATAAGTGTGAGTTTCGTGTGTGTGTATGTGTGTATGTTACGTGCGAGTGTGTGTGTGTGTGTGTGTGTGTGTGTGTCTGTCTGTCTGTCTGTG